TATCACAATTACGCTGACGATACTCAGGTCTATGTGTCCCTGACAGCAGGAGAGCATGAACCAGTGGACTCGCTCCTTCACTGTGTCCAGCAAATCGGTGATTGGATGCAAAATAACTTTCTCCAACTAAACACCGACAAAACTGAAATAATTGTTTTCGGACCCCAGAAACAAAGAGAGAGCGTTATTTGTCACCTCCAGGCTCTCTCTCTACAACCCTCAAATCAGGTCAGAAATCTAGGAGTGATAATGGACTCAGACTTAAATTTCAAAAGCCACATAAAATCTGTAAACATCAGCAGCTTATTACCACCTAAAAAACATTGCTAAAATTAAAAACATAGTGTCTAAGGCAGACTTGGAGACTCTTATACACGCTTTTGTCTCCAGTAGGTTAGACTACTGCAATGGCTTGTTCACAGGTCTGTCCAAACAGGCTGTAAAACAGCTGCAGTACATTCAACATGCAGCAGCTCGAGTCCTGACCAGAACTAGGAAGTACGACCACATTAGTCCAGTTCTCAGGTCTCTGCACTGGCTTCCTGTTCCTCAGAGAATAGACTTCAAAGCAGCTTTACTTGTGTACAAGTCTCTCCATGGTCTCGCGCCAAGGTACATCCATGACATGTTTGTGCCATATGAACCGACCCGGACTCTGAGGAGCACAGGGACTGGACTCCTGTTAGTGCCCAGAGTCGGTACTCGACATGGGCAAACTGCATTTCAGATTCATGCGGCTAGAGTCTGGAACAGTCTTCCTGAGAATGTGAGACAGGCGTCTACTCTGGCATCTTTTAAATCTAGGCTCAAAACAATTCTGTTTAGCTGCGCATATACAACTGAATGATTTTATCTTTTCATCTTTGTTTTTATCTTTAATCTTTTTAATGCACTGTGACTATTTATGATTTTAGTCCCATCTGTGATTTTAATGTTTAAAGGTTTTTAATTTTTGTGATTTTATTTTTAATGTTTTTAATATATCTTGTGCTCTTAACTCATTGACTGCCATTGACGTGTTAACACGTCAAACTAAATAGTAACGTTGTCTGCCAATGACGTGTTAACACGTCAATTGCGTTTCCCGCTATTTTTACGTTCCCAGCTGTCCATTGAATCTAATATGTGGAGATTGGCTTGAGGCAATACTTTATGGAGCCAGCAGATGGCAGCATTGCGCTATGAATGGTTTGAACACAGCTAGATGCACTGTTTGTGGCCCTTTTTTCTCAGCTTTCTGGTGATTTCAATAAAACTTCCCTCTACTCAACTGGGGATTACAGAAGAACTAAACAAGATAGAAACAAAATTCTTTTTGCTGGTGAGAGTAGACAGCCCATTCTTTCAGAATCTAGTTTTAGATTTCAGATAGTCAAAGTACACAATATTCTGTGGGTCTTGAAAAATCAGTAAAAACCACCAGAAACGGCTGGCAATATGGGAGTACCTGTTTTGAAATGGGCTGGCAGTCAATGAGTTAATGTGTTTGATTTATGCATGATGTGATAGGGGATGTGAAGCGCTTTGCGTTGCCTTGTGTAGGAAAGGCGCTCTACAAATAAACGTTGATTGATTGATTGATTTATGTTTTGGATCATTGTCCTGTTGGAAGATAAATCTCCGTCCCAGTCTCAGGTCTTTTGCAGACTCCAACAGGTTTTCTTCCAGAATGGTCCTGTATTTGGCTCCATCCATCTTCCCATCAATTTTAGCCATCTTCCCTGTCCCTGCTGAAGAAAAGCAGGCCCAAAGCATGATGCTGCCACCACCATGTTTGACAGTGGGGATGGTGTGTTCAGGGTGATGAGCTGTGTTGCTTTTACAGCCGTAGAGAGCAGCCGTCCTCCTGTGGACTCACCACCTGCAGAGGGTCAGTGAGGGGCTGGTGCTATGAGACTTGGGTGGCATCTCTGACTGCCACCCCCCTGACCCAGAAATGGATTAAAGGGTAGAAAATGGATGGATGGATATTGTTTTGCATTGTGGCCAAAAAGTTTGATTTTGGTTTCATCTGACCAGAGCACCTTCTTCCACATGTTTGGTGTGTCTCCCAGGTGGCCTGTGGCAAACTTTAAACAAGACTTTTTATGGATATCTTTGAGAAATGGCTTTCTTCTTGCCACTCTTCCATAAAGGCCAGATTTGTGCAGTGCACGACTGATTGTTGTCCTATGGACAGACTCTCCCACCTCAGCTGTAGTTATCTGCAGTTCATCCAGAGTAATCATGGGCCTCTTGGCTGCATCTCTGATCAGTCTTCTCCTTGTTTGAGATGAAAGTTTGGAGGGACGGCTGGGTCTTGGTAGATTTGCAGTGGTCTGATACTCCTTCCATTTCAATATAATTGCTTGCACAGTGCTCCTTGAGATGTTTAAAGCTTGGGAAATCTTTTTGTATCCAAATCCGGCTTTAAACTTCTCCACAACAGTATCTCGGACCTGCCTGGTGTGTTCCTTTGTCTTCATGGTTCTCTCTGTGCTTTAAACAGAACCCTGAGACT